TCTAGTCTAAAATAAGATGTTTTATTGCTTCAAATAAGTAATTATTTAGTTTTAGCATGCTAATTATAAACCCTAGTAACTAGATGAATTTCCTCGGGCTAATTTTGAAAAGTTTGATGGATAAGTGTACAAAATATAATTAAAATTCACTCTTATAACGAAAAAGGATTATAATCTGCTCACACGCGAACAAATCAACCTGACAGCTGAATTTACCTGCATTTCACAGTTGATGTTCACTCTGGGACTCGAACATAGTACCGTTCGCTTCAAACACGATCGCGTTATTTACTTAGCTACTGAGTTCTGATAGCCGCTTGCTTATGCAATGGGGTGAAGTTTAAATTCACTTGGTATTGTTTACTTTGCTTATAATGCATGTGAATTAAGGCAATGTCGAGGCAATACGCACAGTATGCATATATGCCAAAAAGAGAGTGATAAGTTGCAGTCCTAAACATCAATAGGAAGATTAAAACATACAATACTAAGTGGATGATTGCTAAACATGATATTTTCTGAATGATATTTACATTTCAATAAAACTTTTAACAAGCAATGAATTTATTTGCTGAACAAATTGTCCTGTGCTATTAGAAGATGAATATCATTTCCTTTTGTCGCTCTCCTTGTTTTAAGTAAATCTCACTTTCTTCTTATTCTAAGCATTAATTTTCACAATTAAAAGAAACATCATTTAAATTGTTAATTATTATTGTAAATATTCAGTGACAGACTATCTTTGTTTGTAAATTACTAGTGAAAACTATATTCACAATAGTTTTATCTTAACCAACAAAATGATGTTGTAGTTGAATTCACGAGTCGATCTGAACTAGACCACCATTGAAAACCTGAAGACACTAGGCGGCCATTTCGTCCTAATATAGGATTCCTCAGCATTGCACACTTATGGTCCCACACCTGGTCCTTGAACCCAGGATTCTTGGTCTCACCTAAGAACGCTTAACCTCTAGACCACTGAGTTTTTAATTAAAAATCTATGAGCATTACTATTTACTAACCTGTTTAATAATATTTATCAAAATAATCATGTCATCATAATTAAGATAAGTTCTCCCTTGAGCAATATAAACTTTCAACAATAATAATAAATTAACAATGAAATAAATTTGTAAATGCTGACTCAGTAATTTGTTATTATTGTTGTTATAATTTTCGTATCCATAATACACCTTATATTCTTAAACTATGATTATAATTGAATTTAAGTAGAGAAAATAAATAGTATGTTGAAATAGTTAACCGATTAAATAAAGTAGACTAATAAAACATGTCGAATATTACTTTACTAGAATATGATCATAAATGTCTGAATTTCAAAGATATATTTATTTGTGTATATATTATTCTATAAGTTAAGAAAATATTCTGACTCATCAACTCTTGAAGTATCTCTAACCTTCTTTTTGGTCAATTCTGTATCCAATAAGTTTCTATGACTTCAATGAATCTACTTTTCAAACTTTTCGATTCATTTTGAATGTTTCTTTTTTTTCTATTCGATGATGTTGGTTTACTCTTTTTTAAAAGAAGATTTTATTATTTTCCATTTTATATTATTAGTCATTGAACACATTCAAACTTAATTAGATAAAATAAACTTAATATCCAATAATATATTTTAAAAAAATGTAAAATACTACTCATTTAGTTAACTAAACCACTTAACTATATTATTCATTTCTTCAATAAGCTTGTTTATTTATTTATTTATTTAGAAAGAAACATTGTTTAAAGGTATAAATTTTTTTCCTTAAAGTAGTTAAATGAAATTTAGTAAAAATATGTAAACAAATTTTTATATACATATTCTTATTTACTAAATCAAATAATAGTTTGGATAAGTAATCAGGACTCAGTAGCTAAGTGGATAACGCGATGGCGTTAGGGGCGAATGATATTGGGTTCGAGTTCCAGAGTGAACATCAAATGTGAGATATAAGTACATCCAACTGACGAGTCTCAAATAGGACGAAACGCGCATCCTAGATCCCACTGTTAACTACTATCCATCTTTGCTTACCATGCTCGTGAATTTAGGCTATGTCGAGGCGATGCGCACAGTATGCACATATGCCAATAAGAGACTGACCAGTTGCAGTCCTAAACATCAATAAGAAGATACAAACAAACAATACTAAGTGAATTAAAAAAAGGAATTCATCCAAATAGTATAATATCGTACCGATTATTGATTTAATTATTATGTACAATATTATTAGTTCAAATAGTACTATTATATGTAAAGTTATACTTGATAATTTAATCAAATGAAGCAATATATATAATTCATTTTTGGGTGGTGGAGAAGATTTGTAGCTTAGATAGATGATTTTGATGGAGTTTTGTTCATTTTTCTTTCTCAGGGATATAACCTTGTAAATAAATACCATGGTAAAATGAAATGTTTATTTTTTTGATCATATTGATAAAAGATAGGATATTTTAAGAGGTTCTAAGTAAATTCATTAAATGTCTTGATGTCAATCAATAGTGATCATTTTAAATAAAAAAAAAACTTGTTATCTTGAGTAGGCTGAGCTGCTACTATATCTATTGGACAATTTGCTTAAATATCTGGTCTACCTGTTCCTGATATCTGGATATTTCAACAAGTTATCTGTGTTAATTTTGTTTGTTTTAACATATCATTATACCTATTAGTCTCATAACTTATTGAGCTGCATTTGTGAAAAATTTACAGCGTTTCGCTGTACAAGTTATAATCAAACACATTGTGGTTGCTGGCTATATACATCGAAAAGAATTTACAACATTCAGATGTTGATTTCTGGACTGCTAACATCTAACAGGCGACCATTCAATATTTGTTCCAAGGATCAGTCAAGAAATAAAAAAATAAAACTTGTTGAAATATATTTTGCTGAGAATTCTATATTGTGCCAAAAATACAATATTGAATAAAGCTAATAATAATAATAATAAAGATAATGATAATTTGTGTATGAGAAAACCAATTATGTCCAATTCCGCTATTTTATTTAACTTTCTGGCAGACAGGGCATAGTGGAGGGAATTTTCATCAACTTAAATATAATAGTTTTTGGTAGCTTTTCTATCATATTTCCAATTTTTTACTGTAAACATAATACTTTATATTTAAACGAGTCGATCTATTTAATTCAAGACACAACTCATTTTTATACCACTCAGCAACAGTCTAGAAACAGTTAGTAAGCGGTGGATTTCGATAGGTGTCCTGTTGTATTGAATTACTGAAGGATGATAACATGGTTTGGATTTTTTTCGCTGGTCGATACTTGTTAGGAGAAAAAGAAATAAGTATACAAATTAGTATACTAGATATGATTTATGCTTGCAGTAATTGACTTTTATGATATTTGTAAATTGTCCATACAATCAATTATTGATTAATCAACAATCATAATCAATCAGCTGAATTTATTCAAAATCTAATTATTGATTTAAATAAAAGGTACAAAAAATCATTGTATTGAAATTTAAAATTGATCTAATTTTAATGTAAAAGAAATGTTCTTCTGATATCAGAATGTTCTATCTATCATTATTTTGAGTTAAAGAAATCAGTTGTGAGGTACTTTCTAGAATAAAAAGATTATATTACAACTGTTCCAAATGAAATACGACCACACATATCGTTTTATTTGAATAACAGTATTCTTTTAATAAGAAATCAACTTCTTTATGTATAAACAGGAAATATGTGTATATATATATATAAGCATGACATGCTCAATACAACTTTGTTTAAGAACGCTTGTCTAGTTAATTAAAGGGACTGACGAATCACCGAAGAATTCAAATCCTGTTCACCTTATGTTACAGTCAAGTACATTACTATTAAATTATTCGAGTAATGACTCAAATTCTTTAATATTAAGACATTTAGGAGGACCGATCGGTGAGTTTACTGATTTATCATATTATGTAATCGGTTTCCTTTTAATAAACAGTTGTTAGGTTATTTCATAAAATAAAATTTCAAACAGATTAAATTTATTTATTTCTTCCATTTTGGGTAATTGGCATCATTTACTCATCCTTTCAAATGATTATCTATAAATCAAATTGTAATGTCTACGGATTAAAGAAAAAAAATCTCATCGCTTAATTATCACATCTAAAACCTTATCAACTATTTATTATTAGGACTGTAAGAATTCAATTGACATTTCCCATAGAACCAACACATAACCAACATATATACCTATAGAATTCTAACATTAAACATTCACAAACATTATTTAACAATTATTAAAAAAAAGACCATATCATTTGTGTATCCGTCCGGAAAACAACAAAAACACTATGCATACGATATGAGCATCTGTTTGAACAATCAGTCTGTTATAGTAAACCAAATAATTTATTGGTAAAATATTTTAAAGCATGGTTTTTCTCAAACAAGAACCAGATGCAAAAACTACTTGCAATTATTCTGTATAGGGCGTACAATTCGGCAAGTTCGTCAACAAATAACAGAACACCATCCGTCGTGGTTGAGCAAAGGACAGGTAAAGGTGATTAAGAGTTTTATTCTTGCTCACTTGGTGGACACAGGTCATCAGGTTGAACTGAATAAATCTTTTAAGGTTATCTACCATATTCCATCAAATTATTCATTAGTTTAATAGAAAACACTTTTAAACACATTTTAAAATAAGAAATAAGTTGAAGAGTGTTGTCATATGTCAGCTCATTTACGTTTCTCTTTCTTTCAATATTACGTTATGTCTGTCTTATTATTTCTCAATAATTGTTACAGTTAATATATAAATTAAGGTTTATTTAATTAGATGCAAACTATGTCTGCTATTGATATTGGTCTCCCAAACTAAAATATATGAATTAAGGCTCGAATCTGGAACGTTTTGATTGAAATTCAAATAATTCAACCGTCAAACTCACATGAATGTCATACCAACTTAAAGTAACTTAGAATAAAAAAAAATTGACATATAAATTTAACTTACTTATTAGAAGGTACTACTCCATCACCAATTATTCCTGCACTAGAAATCACTGCAGCTTGTAAACCAACATTTGGAATAGAATTATCAATAGTTCCTTCTATTTTGTTACTGTGAGCATTATGTTTTGTAATATTGATTAAATTTGAGGTTAGTTTATCAGATTTATGATTTATTGAATCAATATTTAATTTTTGGTCACATAGTATTATTTGAATATAGTTGATAAATAATGCATAATATATGAAATAAGAATCAATGACTTTACATTTCTTCATTTCGTTTTATTCTGTTGTTGAGTAGGAGGGTACTTGAAAATTCACTGGTCAACTGAAAAATAAGACCAGAACAGAAAAGAAAAAAATTTACTAAAGATGTGAAACAAAGCAAGTCAACTAAGTTCTTCCGAATACAGATAAACCAATGTTCAAAAGAAAACAATAAGATCCTTATGCATTAGCTGTTATCAGTTTTAGTATGTTTGTTGATGAAGAAATAAACATCAGTGTGTTAGTGATTAAGTTAATTCTTTTTAAGAAATACAAAAAATACACAATAAAATTTTATTTAATTTCTGACAGTTTATGTCACATAGTAGTAAATTTACCGAAGGAAAGGAAATGATAGTTAGGTTTAGTTTGTTTTTATGAAGATCAATATTGACTTTGGGAAAAAATTAAATAAGAATTTACCTGAAGTTAACTTTAGTTGAAAACCAACATTGTAAAAGGTGTTGATGACTATAAGATATTGAACATATTATTTAGATCTAGGTTTAAGTCTTTAGAAGTGTCTGACAATGATTTGTTTCTCAGAATTCAGTCTCATATTTCTAGGTATCGTGGTTGCTAATAGAAGTCTTTTGTTGGGTGATTTTACGTAAACAGAAGGAAAATCAGTATTTGTGACTGAAAATTTATTCATACCCGTTGAAAATTTTAAAATTTACGATGTCTGACATTAACTCAAACTTTAGGATTGTTTTGCCGTAAATAAAATGTTAGCATCGTTGTGGATCCTCATTGAAGTTAGTAGTTTAATGATGCTTCTTCATAAGATAAATGTCAGTTATAGGTCTACTGAGAATCCAAAAGATGAATGATAGATTTGTTTGTCATCTTGTTATATATTGTGGGTGCGTGCGTGCGTGTTTGATATATGAACGTGCTGATTCCTGCCAATAAGAGAGGAGTGAATTGTCGATCAGAGCAATGATACACGAAGACCAAATATCAGTAATACCGAAAAATAACTCATTAGTTTAATTCAGTAACTCATAAATGATATGAATTGAACCGAATTGTATTGTATTAAAGAATTTTCGAAATATCAAAATTCATTAGTCACTAACAGCTGGTTACTTTCATTAAAATAATAAGTAGGCTATTCCAATTCACGATTAATTTAACAGAGATAATAATGATTAGTACACGCAATTATTTTAAAAAAAGCTTTAACATATTCTATCAAATATTTGTTTATCTTCAAGCTAAGCAAATATCAAGTTTCATTAAATAACCAAATGTGAAGAATGAACTCAGGAAGCCAAACTAATAACTTGTTTTTTATTAGGGTCAAATAACCCTTTATTATTATTCTGCTTTTTTTTCATTATAATTAATTTAATTATATATGGTATAAATGAGGATGAAGCTAAGGTTAATGTTAAACTGTTGAAGAAAAAATAACACTTGATAAAGCAAATCGAATAAATGTGTAATTGTAATAAGTATAAAACAGTAGAGTAGATGAAAATAAGTTATTCCTATTCGTTTCACTGTAGATATTCAAGTGACTAAAACAGAATAAGCGAGTAACAAAAAATATTCCATGAATGAACATAACAATCCACTAAAGTTGTTATTTGAAAAACTTGAAATGATAACCGTTTGAAGTTTCTTGTCAAATTATATTCATTATAAACAAATTGTAGATTTAGCTCAGACACCTAAATAATTAATGGCAACAATATCACATCCACAAACTTTTATATAAATAAATGAATATTATCAGAAGGCGGTTTTGTGGACATTTTAGTAATTTTTTACATAGTTGAGATCATGATTCAATGGAAGCTAGACCTCAATGAAAACCTGGAAGCACTGGACGGCCGTTTCGTCCTATTGTCGGACTCCTCAGCAGTTCGCATCCATGAATATTACATAATTTCTTAAAACTTCTGAATAGCATTATTTTAGTTGTAAATAGCTTTCAAATCTGACTGGTACCAAGCAAAAGAATATTGTAAAGGTCAGAGAACATTTGTGTTTAGTTAAAAGTTAAGAAAGTTTTAACTTTAAAGTGAGCATCTGAATGATAAATTATTCAATACTGAGCTAGAAATTTGATGTTCAACTCATGTTCAAACTTATGAATGGCAAATCTTTCCATTTACAAAGAACTGTTAAAAGAAACTTGTACGTTAATTATAAGCTAAGATGGATAGTGGCTGGCAGTGAAATCCAGAACGCGCGATTCATCCTATTTGGGACTCGTCAGCTAATAGACTGATCAATTGCAGTCCCAAAAATCAATGGGAAGATTCAAACAAACAATACCAAGTGAATTGTATGTTAATTATTGTATTCTATAGAATAGTCATTTAGAAATATTATCTGTCGATTGTAACTAACCTATATAATCTATGACATTGTTAATATGTCATTAGTCTAACAAATAAAAATAGCTTTGTAACAGTATAAATTGTCTGACAGTCTTCTTATTGAAATTAACATATTTCGACCATACTCTATTATAGTACAAAGTAGGTTAACAAAGAAATTTTTTCTAATCCAACCTAATAGTGTATTGCATACTGTTTTATCCCTAAATTAATACAAAAAGTGACCACTTAATCAGTCATTGTAAAAAAAAAGATAATGAGTTAATGATTATTTCATTTGCGGAACAAATGTATAGTGATTACTAACATTATAGTTAAACTAATGATTAGTCATTATTATGATTATGATTAAAGGATGTAATTCAACTTACTGAGATAAGTAATGATGATAATGGTGATAATTACTAATAGTACTACTTATAAATCATATTATCAATGAATTATTTATAAATAAGATAATTAATGAATAATTTATACTATAATTAATATAGATAATGATGAATCGATATAACATTATGATTGTCTGAATTATAGATATTGTCCTTGTTATAAAACAACATTTTACAAGTAGTATGTAAAGTCCATTAGTTTACAGATTTAATGTTTAGTGAATGAAGACAGTTTCAATTTATCAAAAGTATTGTAAAAACAGATCTAAGTTATAATTATTAGATGTTACAGTGTATCGCGAATATATAAACTGTAACTTAAGATTCTTGTCAACTGTAGATAAATTCTTGACATGATAAACATTATGATGTCCATGTGGTCAATTCATTAAACATATCTGGCTGTTCAGTTCTGCAGTTTAAGTTGTTAACATATTTCTTTTTAGATAATTGCTGGTTTCCTATGCAAATATTTTAGTTAACCTAATGTATTGTTTTTCAAGTTGGCTTAATGAATAATTCACACTCTATTAAAGATAGGTTTTTCAGATTTTCGGTAATGTGTGTGTGTGATTTTGAAAAATTGAGAATCTTTTTGACTCATTTAAATGAGTATTATAACATTTTTCAGACGACGAAAATTTGATAAAGGTGGTCCTGTGTTTATGCAACGTCATAGTGTACTGCTAAGGTGTCATGGACTGCATCAAAACATCCATTTTATTCACACTGATTTTTAACAATTTTTCAGTTGACTTCATTCGGTGCTAAAAATAACTTCAAATGAGTTTTATCATAAACAGTAATGTACAAATATTTTATACGATTATATCATGAACTGATGTTGTCTTTCCTATAAAATTGTTAAAGTTATTTAGTTTTCTATTCGTTTGAAATACTTCTCCAGTAATATTGTTTCAAAACTGGGCTCAAATACAAACTGATTTTTTACTGAGTACTTACCAATGTCATGTTTTAAATTCACTTAGCATTGTTTGTTTGAATCTTCCCATTGATATTTTAGGACTGTGACTGGTCAGTCTCTTATTGGCATATGTGCATACTGTGCGTACTGCCTCGATAAAGCCTTAATTCACAAGCATGGTAAGCAAAGATTGATAGTGGCTAGTAGTAGAATCCAGGACGCGCGTTTCGTCCTATTTGGGACTCGTCAGCTAGATTTATCTGCATCTCAGAGTTGATGTTCAATCTGCGACGCGATGGCGTTTGAAGCCAAAGGTACTGCCTTCAAGTCACGGAGTGAACATCAACTCTGAGATGCAGGTACATCCAGCTGACGAGTCTCGAATAGGACGAAACGCTCGTCCTGGATTCCATTGCTAGCCACTATCCATATTTGCTTACAATATCATGTTTGTCTATTTTTCGGTGCTAATCAAATTTTTTCAATCAGTTTGCTAGATGTCTTCCAGTCTAGTTGCGTCAACATAAAATGTGTTATGTACTAATGGTAGATATTTGAAGCTAGTTGATAGAAAGCCTAAAAACTTGGTTTTACACGAGTTTTAACAAGTTGCAAGTGATCATAAGGAGGCTGATGGTACTAATAGGATTTTGAGTACCATCATTTTCCTGTAGATAAGAAGAGATGTCTTTCTGAAGAGCATTGAATAGTATGAAACTTAAGTCAATAGCCTCTTATCAACGGTGTTCAGTCATTTGACCTTACATTCCTTAGACATTTATGATATTTTGACATTCAACTTTTAAATTGTAAATAAATAAAATCCAAATTTATTTACAAACCAAAAATCTTCATGTTTATACTATACGTTTAGTGTACAAGTACAGGTCAATGTATATACATCTATACTTTTTGATTTGGATCCATTTAATATGAAAATGAAATGAAATTATTCTCACTGGCTATAACATAAGTTACCAAATAAAGTATACATTGTTGTCATTTGAGAAACAAAACGTACCACACACATAAAACCAATGGTTGAAAATGATTAATAGCTTAGAGCAAACAGACTATACAAAACATGTTTTCATATTTTTACGTTAAGAATTAAGTGGGTTTTGTTTAGAATGTATATACAAATGTAGTCTATAATACAACATAAATCATATAATGCTAATACACTTGACAATTGTCAGACTTCTAGCTCTCATTAAAACAAAATCTATCGTTTCACAGTTATCGATAGTCAACCTTTATGTATAAAAAGAGACTAAATTAATAAATCAAACCAATTTTGATGAATTTCTAATCATTTGATACATGGCATTAGGCACTAAA